GAAACGAGCCATGAGATGTGGTGCTTCGTAACTTGGATATGAACTCCAGGCAGAACAAGAGCATGTAAAGACTTGAACATTCTCTCATTTTTATTTTAACTTAATATTTTAGTTTGAGCTTTCATTTATGTAACTTTTCCTCTGGTTTTGGATCAACTTTATTTTTTTTTTTCCCCAAGTCTGCGAGAATTAACACTTAACAGCAAGTTACAGCACTGCTGCTGTTACGAAAAATTCATTTAAACCTATGTGTGTACTCTCAAGTCTTCTCCTGTTCTTTTGGCAGACCTTACAAAGACAGACATTGGTTTAACTTGCACTTAAGTTACTCTTTTTGTAAACTCAGCTTAACTTCTTACTTGACTCTGAAAAATCAATACTTAATAAAGAGAATTAAACGGCAGTGATGTGCTGTGGGGTATGGAGCTAGTCGTTTAGTATGTGACCTTTTTCTCTGAGCTGATGCTGACTAGAAACAAGATGGCTTCATTTTTTTTTTTGTAAACTATGAGCTACGAAAAGAGTACAGTAGTTTCACGTGTGTTTTTGTCAGAATAGAGTTGCATTTAATGTGTGATAACCAAATGAAGTCTTTTCATTATCACAGATACTCCCTGCAGAGTCACAAGTGCTAAACGTGTTTCTCCCTTTTGTTCTAAAATGCTGTAAAGGGTTATTCTGATGACCCTATATTGAGATTCTCTCAATGGTTTCACTTCATTATACGCACATTTCTTAGACTGGAGAATAATCTTTTACACTTCATAGGGAGTCATAAATTCTTAATTTCAGAATATGTTTTAGAAAACTCTGATATTATCAGTATCACGGTTTCACTGAACCCAAATAAATAGCTTTTGTTGACTACGCAGGCTTGACAGTGTATTGCAATGGCAAAATAGCTTCCATAGTTTAAAATCTTGCTTTTTCATTTAACGTTCTCAAATATACACCCTTGTCCTTTCATAAGTAGTATCTGGATCTGTAACAGACTTCAGAACACCGAAGTATTTGATGCAATTGGATATAACTGGATAAGCGCCATAATGCGTTATGATATTTTATCTTAAGTCGTGAATTAAAGGAACATGATTGTGTATAAAATACGGTTTCACTCAAGGTCACAGGTGATAAGAAAACGAAAGTCGTCTTAAGGGAGGAAACAAATAATCTGGCTTTATAAATTAAAGCCCTGGTATGTAAACAAGACAGATTCCAGCTAAGTTAGGGATAGTTCCACAAAATTTTAGTATAAACTTAAGACTTTCAATACTGAAAAAAGTATGTTTATATAATTGGGAGAAGTTGGAAGATCTTGTCTTGCTTTTAAAACTGGAGGATAATTTAACAATTACTAGCTGCAGGGGCTCTGTGCAACTGCCTAAAGATTGGAAAAGTGTTGTTTTATTGAATATGCAAAGGAAATGATCTGATGAGGCATCTCATAAATACATAAATTTAACTTCTAACAATTGTGAGAAAGTACTCTTTAGCTGAATTGGTGTTCTTATTTATCTGAGAAAATAAAGTTCAATAGGAAGACTGCCATCAGCTTTAAAAAGACCCTTGTAGGATTAGTGGAAGGAGAGAAAAGCATGCATCTTGCCTCATGTTAAACGCGCGCGATACTGAGGTGCTGCCGTGATAGTACTGCATTCTGAACTGACGCAGTAGGCAGCGGCACAAGGAGTTTTGGGTGTTGAACCCAGCATAGCATTGCTGCGCCTGCAGTAGTGGCGCTCCGCTCTGCTTGCCCCGGCCGTGTCTCCGGTGCCACTTTTCCTCGCACCCATCTCTGGACTTTGGCTGCGCCGCCGCAACGGTACCGCAGTAGGGGAGACCCTGGTGATAACATCCTTTCCTCCGGATAAAAGGGACTGTGAGGATAGTTGGGTCCCCAGAGGGATTTGTATTATGCTTCTGCCACCTCGCTGGGTGGTAGAAGAAGGTATGTCAGCACAGCCATTCCTTCAGGTGCGAGTCCAGAAGAGTTAAATGGGATCACGTCAGCTGGGCGCAAGGGGCAAGAGAGCCCAAGTCCCTCCAGTCCCCTGTACCGCAGGCTCTATTGCTCTTCCTGTGATGCTCCTTTCTGTATCAGTAGCGTGGAAGTTTCACGTGGTATTGTATATCATTAATGCCCAGAAGATTGTGAAGCCTGATTCTTGACAGAAATTTTGACCCTCGTTTCATAAGCAATTCAAAATAAACAGTAGGATATTTTTAATATCTTCTGTAAAGTGAAACTGCGTTGTTTGTTTGGAATGAATAATAAGATTCATTAGGTTCTGTTCCCCTATGCAAGCTAGTTAATTAGACCCTTTAAAAGCCGAACTACTGAAGCTTTACCAAATCCACAGCTGGTTCAGTAGTTTAATTAATTTCAATCTGGGAATGATATTTTAATTTCACATGTGAATCATGTAATTTATAATTTTAGCTATGGGTTTACAGGAGGTTTTTTTGATTAAAGAGTGCAGTATTTTGTTAGGTCTCTGTTTAAAAATGTGAAAGATTCTTGAGCTGAGCTATGAACAGCTTTCTGTTTAGTTTCCACTAGCAGGTGGTAATGCGGTACGCACACTATTTTATTTAAGATTAATCTTTACAAAGGCAATATTAATCACATTTTAATTAACTCTACTTACTGGGTAGAAAAGGAAAGAATTAATATCAGAACTGCAGCCATAGGCTCTGAAATAAGACAAGCCGCAATAGATGAAATAGTTGCTGGGGTCCATTATTTGGACTGTTGTAACATTACCTGAAACAAACGTGTGATTGATTGCATGCATCTCTGACACGCCAGCCTCGCAGCACTGGGTGGTGAGAAAGCTGTCCTCTTGTCATAGTTTGGTGCTACCTAAAAGGGTCCTGGTTTTCCTTCTCCCCTTCCCTTGGCTGTATGGTCTGGTGCCCTCCCTTGCGTCAGCTCTGGCTCTTAGCAAACCCTTCACTCAGCCAATTCAACTGCTCATCTAGCAGAAAACAATTAGCTTTTATTCTTTTGTCACATAACTTTTCTGCCAGGTTGGTGAATGGAATTGGCTCGGTGAGATGTCTGATGAGCACCTGAGAGCTGCAGAAAAGTCAGGAGGTGGGTGAGGAGGGAGAAAATGTAGCTGGACCAGAGCCACTTTCTCCAATTGCAGTGGGTCATTAGCTTGGCTCAGCTGGACCGTTGATCAATACCCCAGACGATTTCTCAAGACGAATCTTCAAAAATCTGTTTCCAAGATAGGAAGCGTTCTTCTTTCTTTTCCATATAGAAAAGCAAAGTCTGTCTATTTTGTAATGTTAGCCATTGACAGAACGCGGGATGCAGCTTGGTCCAGCAAGTTTGACATAAAGCTGGAAGTTCAATAACCTGAATTGCATTCCTGGCATCGCCACTCGCTTTTTATAGGTCAGAACGAGCCATCATATTCTGTGCTGCATACTTCCATTATAGGTAAGATAATGGACACCTTAAATTGCGCAGTAAGAGGCTGCAGAACCATAGATCTCCTCTTGGGAGCTGAAAGTTGGGTCAGCTCCTGCTTTGTGTAGCTTACCTAGTGAAAGGCTTGGCTCCGTTCCTCCTGAAGGGTGGCACAGAATGGAAATTGCAATGTGCTAATGGATGCTTTTTACCCCACTCTCTGTGACTCGATGCAGGCAGCGTAAACCGGGGTGTAAGATGGTGCTCTGTCGTCTTACGCTGTCGCGCACGTTTATTGGATAATTAACGGCTGCATGCTGCTTGGGGGCGGACACGGACCAAAAAAAAACCCCTTTGATTTTTAACCACATTGTTTATCTGGAAAGTAAGGGTTGTTGTCGCTAGTGACTCCAGCAGAATACATCAACACTCTGAGCTGCAGTGCCCAGTATTCTTTACTTTGGTTTAAAAGTGGAAGTAAGGCTTATCTACCCATTGTTCAAATTGCTTTGCAGCGTTTGCCTGGAGAAGGGTGGTATGATTTTTTTACTGTGGTTTTTCCCTTCAACAAATTGCTTTATCCTGAATGCCTGTGTGTAATCTTTTTTGTTGTTGTTTCAGCCTTAATACAGATATTGGCAGCTGCTGAGGCCGGACGTGATGTTGTTTATTTTACCTTTGGAGATGTGGAGCTGATGCGGGATATTTACAGCATGCACACTTTTCTCTGTGAGAAGGGCCAAACTATTGGTGAGCATAAAGAAATCCTTTCATGCAGCAAAGAGACTTAACCATCTCCATAAGTGGAAATTGTCCAATAAGAATTATTGTCATCAAGACCCGAACACAAGCAAATGGGTCTCGGTTTATTTGTACCTGTTTCCAGAGTGGGGAACTCTCCTGATTCAGGGTCCACTGCGCAGTGTTAATCTGTTAGAAGACTTCTAGAATCCTTTTCTAATTCACTTGGGAGTTATGCTCCAGAATCTGGAAAATACAGGTACATGTGGTAGACAGAAGGTTTGCAAAAGTTTTTAATATAACTCACAGTGCTTTAAAAAGGGAAAATCTGCTTATGCATTCTTGATATAGATTTGTCTTACAGTGGTTCTGGCTTGATCCTGCAAAATGCGGTCAGATGTGTTACCCGGTAGCAATACAAGCAAGCAGCGTATACATTGCCCCTCTGTAATTAGAATCATAGAATCATTAAGGTTGGAAAAGACCTCTAAGA